CAGAAATGTAGAATAAATTTCTCGGCCAACACTAGATGGATCCCGGGAACATTACCAACATACTAAACTTAGGCTGTCCCTTTACAGTTAGCTCCGCTTGAAAACAGACACTAAACTAGTTGACCGACATTTTAAGTCCTAAATCGACGATTTTAGTTGAGTATTTATTCTGCTTCCATTATTATTATTTTGTTACCTATTACTAAATACTTCTGCATTGTCTTGTAGGACATGTTTCTTTGTTCATTACAAATGGCGCCTGAAACCATAAAATACACCACTCGTGAATTGATAATAACATGTTCATGGTGTCTTAAATATTGGATAATACGATCCCATATTTTTATGACAAGATAACATCAAAATTTTGAATTCAAATTTGTGTCTTTAATTGAGTTAGGGGTTTAGCTCCTTTAAGTAATCAAGTTAAATACATTTTAGTGTGGATTATGTCGTGGACAATTTTTAGTGGTCGGCCTTCAAGTAAGACAACATACATTAGTCGTGTGAGTATATAGGATCAACGAATCGTTTATGTGTTTTTAAGGGGATAATAAATATATAAGTGGTGATAGGATGTCATTAATGTGATCTACTGAACAGATAAATATTTAAAGCTAGATTCCACTTAAGGCAAATAAATATAAATTTTAAAATATATGCTGCACGGCCACGTCTTTCGTCAATCCTACATTGTCGATAGTTAAAGCCAGATTCCACTTATAAAACTAAATTTAAATGTATGTTATTAAACGACACCAACGTTTCAGTTTTAAGCTTTATAAGAGTCAAGCTTTAAGTTAGACAAGGCAAGTGTTTGAGACACACCTCGATTTTGGAAATTGGTATATCAAAAACCTCTGTTCTTCACGACATGCTTTATGACATTAGCATTATTTCCGTGTTAAGCTTGACAGGGGGTCTAGCTTTAAGCAAATGTTGTAAACACAGTATTTGAAATTGATAACAAGATGACATAGTAATGATTAACACATATCTATATCTATAGTCGCTTACAATAAAACCAAACATACTAGTGTACATGCAGCAATATTTATATTGCAAATCCATCTAATCAGTGTCGCAGCGGAGTTTACACCCCCTCCCCCCACCACTCTCACACATGAAAAACGCAACACAGCATACGGTAAACATACCAAGTGGCGTATCCCCTTAGCCCCTTCACCCGTCAGCGTCAGAAAGAGTATCGCCATGGGTCCATAAGATAAATGCTTGTGTTCATTCATTTTTTATTTAAAATAGTTTTAATGATTTACGAGAAGCAAGTTCCCAAAAATATATTCAGGCGATTCTAATATAGGTATACGATCAGTTAAAATATTTGAGAAATTTTTAAACTGAGTAATAAAAATAAGATGTCTTTTTGACTTTGGGCTCTGTATGACGGAAGAATTGTATACGTTAAAATACAATAAAACTATTTAAAATACAATAACTAACATATGTCTACAATGGTTTACATTTACAGCGTAAACAAATCTGGTGGTTTTTCTGAGGAAGTTTTGGGATAAAATTACCAGTGGTATTGGATAGCTAGTAAAGATCTCCAGTGAATTGACACAGCTTCATTTAATTTGGACAGGGGAAACTTGATGGGTGGGTTTATGTGCAAACCTTGTAAGATGTAACCATGATGAGTCGACAGTTTTGGAACCCACGCAATAATATCTGTTAGATAATATCCCCTCTCCGCAAGCTAGAATCAAAGCAAAGCGCCATTTTCAAGATGCGGCCATTTATCATAGGAGTAAGTGATCCTTGTTGGCAGTGTATGGACTTACTTTTACCTCAATGTGCATACCATTGTGTGCAGGTGCTGTCTTAGTCATATGGTAACGCAATCGAGCTTTAACTATACGACTTCGAATATCTGGTTTTCAATACCGTTTGAGGACGACATTAAACGCTTGGTATTTTTCAAGTATCGTTGCTGTTTCTCACGTGGTTTTACAAGACAAGCTTGTCTAGTCGTGTAGTTGGGACGCGAAACCCCGTTCCGGTATACAAATCGGTAATCGAAGCTAACACGCCTTTTAAAGTTTTAATTCGAAGAATAATAGTTTTCGGAAACGCAGGTTTCTTGGCCGATCTGGATCGAGAAAGTTTCTCGGGATTTCCTTTTTGTCAGGTGTGCCGGGCAGACGGCCTGGTAAGGAAAGGCGTCTAGTTTGTCGGATGGGACGAAAATCCGTACTCGTTGTCATGCATATTAAAAAAAGTTTGACCGATAAAGAGTTAGGCTGAAACTCCGCTCTCCTGGCAAAATATTTCTCGCGCCAAATCCCCGTCTTCATTAGCCCTGTCGTTGTAGAATAGTAACAGGTTAAACGCCATTTCATTTCTTTAATCTGTGAGCTGGGCGCAGGGGTGGGGCATTATTATCTGAGGAGGTAGGAGGGTGGGGGTAATTATGTACGTATATCATGTATTGTTAATTATTTTTTCGTATCCTGTTCACCAAAGCTTCCCTTTAAAATGTTTAACATTATTTTCTCATCAGAAAAAAAAACAGGAGAAAAGTATAAAATAGCGATTCCAGACACTATCAACCTACATACTAGGAAGTCGCACAAGGAAACAGAAATGCACAAACGGAAAACACAAGTTAAACAAAAACACTTGATTCTACCACCCTAATTGTTGGACAATTTCAAAACTTTCATTTATTTTATACATTTTAAAGGTTGGATTGTAACAGTCAGACATTGTTGTTACTACTAGACAATTGAGTGACTGAGTGGTCACAATATAACTAATCTTATTGTTTTGAAAAAATACAACGTCGCCATTGTACTTCTATCATTACTATGGTAACGTTATGAGCTTTTGGATTGTTCTCCACACAGGTAGGCACTATTTTAGACCAATCAAATCGAATTATTCCCTTGTCTTCGATATCACCCTTGGTGGAAGTGGGCGTAAAACTCCAGGAACGAACGAGCGAAATTATTCCATGAAAACCAATCATAGAACAAGTGTAATTCATGGGAGCGCTAAGGACTTTTCGCACTAGTAAACACTTTTTCAGACCAAAGCAAACTAAAGTTGTTCAATGAAAACCAAATCTAGAAACGTCTTAAAATAAGTATGATATTTGTTAGCAGTGAAATGCTATTGTTAGAGATTTAGCCTATATTATCATCCACTAACAGTTACAGGTGTCGTGCACCGGGTACAATACGTATCCGAGCATCTGTCACCTGATATCATTTCCGGTTAGGGATGTTGGTGGCACTGACATTTGGCACTGCACATGGCAAACACACCATATTTATACCCATTGTATTTACACAAAACCATTTACTAAACCGCCGCTTTAACCTCACCAATAAATAAATAGCAGTAATTCCATGTTATCTTGGCACGTGGAATGTTATTTTTTGCAGTACCTACTCCTTCCTTCGTTGCACATTTTCGAACCAAACCCTATCTATAAATACACCTTCTGTATTTACTCAGAAATGCTTATTAAATTATTTTTAGATATTTCAAACCCAAAACCCAAGACAATAATATGTCTATGGAATTCTCAAATAAAAGGTCGCCCGTTTCGTTAAAGTAGAATCTACTTGGATAAAGGTCAAGGATGTATGGATTATGTTTATTGCACTTGTAAAAGATTTTTATAACCTATGTTATGTACCTATTAATATACTCCTTAAAATTCCACATAAATAGAATTAAGGCGTTGGTCAGTTAGCCTTTGATTAAGTATGGATCAACTGTTAAAACGAGATTTGCCCTTTGGAGATCTTCGTCGACCGTTTACAAACAAATTTTCGTTTTGATTTGACGGGATTTAATTTCCAAATTTAATATGCAAACAAAACATATTCTTGTGCTATTTTTTACATACCCACCCCCTCTCCTAGCCCTTCGCAGTTTGTCTAATGTGTCTACAATAAAATAGTAACTATAAATGTGTCTATTTGAAAGGGCCAAAGGGGCCCTTTTCCTTGGTTACATGGTCACATAATCTGAACAATGAACTTCACTCCACTGTGCTCTTGCATTGGTCCGCCTCGGTGAATAATATCGTGATATATTAATACACAGTACCTAGGTGAAGCTCTATTGACACTAATTCCTGTATTACTCTACATCTATATTCATGTGTTCAAACAACGCTAACGAGTTGATCGTTCATATGGCGATTTTCTAAACTAGTTAGCTTACTAATTATAACGAAGATTTCTCTGGCGTCGACCGAGAAAGTTCTTTGGGATTTGGAGCCACGGTGGCTAAGTAAGTAAGACGCTGGCTCACTAGTCTGGAGGTCGCGGGTTCGATCCAGAAAGGCCGAGAAAGATTATCGGGATTTTCCGGCGAGGTTTCCCCTTTGTCAGTGGTGCAGGACGGAGGGCCTGACACGCACAGCTGTCTAGTCGTTCGGATGGGACGAAAAAAGGAGGTCCCGTGTACATATTGGCATGCACGTAAAGATCCCTTGGCTGTTGGAAATTGATATAAGAGTAGGCCGCATCACCGCTGTCCGGTCAAAATGTCCCTAATAGCACACTTTATGACGCATGCCCGTCTTCATTTGCCCTGTCGAAGGAGAACAGTAAGACGTAAAACCCCATTTCATTTCATTTTCTTTTCTTCGGGATCTCAGACCTGGTTTACCCATATCGGTGGTGCAGGACAAGGGGCAGAACAAGGATAAGCCTCTATTTGTGCATGGCATTTAATATACTCTTCATGGTGATATACGGCCTTTTGTAAATAATTAATGCCCCAAAGTGTATCACTGATGATGCGATTTTTTTTATTATTATTTCAAAGATATATTATGGTAAAGATTAGACCATTTGATCATACTTGGTTGAACAAAATCAAAATAATTAATGCCATCTCTCTCTCTCTCTCTCTCTCTCCCTCTCTCTTGCTCTCTCTCTCTCTCTCTCTCCCTCTCATTAAACAGCCTATCTTAACCTGAACCTAGACAGATTAATCTTGACCTATTGCCAAAATGTCAAGTGGATAAGAAGGTCGTGTCATTTACGATACACCAGATTGGCAAGGAAAACGAAAGCTGTCATAATAATGGATTCGAATCCCTGTTATCAGCATGGATCATGGTTCTGATAAGGTAAATCTTATTATATACACGTTTGGTCGCACAATCTAGACGCCCTGACTATGAGAACTTCCCAGGTGTATTTTAAATACTATGACCTAACGTAGAATAGGTATCTTATTTTAAATCCCCACCTAGACTTCTAAACAAAGTGGGGAGAGAATAAACACTTTTCCTTTCTAAACGAAGATATGGAATGAATGAACGAAAGGGGGTTTATCGCCCTACTTTTCTGCGCCAGCGATGCCGTGGTGACTCAGTGAGTATGACACTGGCGCGCTATTATGGGGCTCTCGGGTTCGCTCCCGGTGTTGGCCGAGAAATTTTCTCTGGATTTTCCGCTGTGGTTTAGCCTTGTCATTGGTGCAGGATGGGGGGGGGGCTGACAAGGACAGCTGTCTAGTCGTTCGGATGGGACGTTTACACATTGGTATGCACGTAAAAAACCTTGGCAGTTGGAATTCGATGTGTAAGCCGAGGCGCCGCTGTTCGGGCACAATTTCCTTCATAGCACAGAGCATGGGGTATGCCCGTCTTCATTAGTCCATCCGGTGCAAAAAAGTAGGACGTTAAACTCCATTTCATTTCTGCTCGAGCGAAGATATGGCATTGTTCGTAATTATGAGCACTACTGACCTCACATTCGATCACGATTTTCCAGCCTGTTTCCTTTAGTGCCTTTCGGAGAGTCTGACATGGAAAAGCGTCTAGTCGTTTGGCTGGGACAAAAATGTGGTAAAAGCACGCTTGAACGGTGGAATTCATTCAACGAAGATTAGACGGAAAGGTGCTGCAGGGTGTATGCCCGTCTGCATTAACCCGCTTCGGACACAACAGTAGGACGTTAAACCCAATTTCATTTTTGTGTGTATTTATTGACGATATACAATACCGTTTATAGATGACTTAATTATGTGTATTTATTTGTAGATGGGGTATTGTTTGTATTTACTGAAGACTGTTTAGAGTTAGGTTAATTTATGACATGTAAGTGAAGATAACCAGTTACATGTAGTAGAGCATTAAATGTAAACAGGAAGTTGATTTATTATGTTTATATGCAACAGACACTTCATCTAATAATCTTTAATGGAGCAAATTTATTCAAAGAATCTGCATGTTATTAATGACTTTCAAGAGTCGTAGTGGCTATGGAATATCGTAAGACGTGTTTTGTTTTTAAAATTGTGCTTCTCACAAGCTCACAGGCTTCAACACTGTCGCATTCGGGATAATATTTATGATTTTAAAACACAACTAATGACACATAGGCGGTTCGTTTTTAGCGTGCAGGTACTCCTCATAACGACACATCCGAGGTCGTAACTTTTTTAATAAATTTGCAACATTGTTTTAAAGTCTATAAACGCCATTGTGAAAGTTGAATCTCTGAAAGGAATGTCAGTCAGTAATGGTTCAATTCCGTTGAGTATTTTTCAAACGAGATAAATGGAATATATCTAGCGACGCTTGTAACTCTTCGCTAAAAGATGGGTCTCGTTTTAATCCAATTAAATCCGAGCCTGGGCATTATCTACAGCTACCGTTGATATTTTGTTTTTGTGTTCTTACTTCAATGTTACAATAATCAATTTGGGTAAATTTTAACGTGAATTAAACTGTGGGCATAGAGGCTTTAACATTAGATAATGATTGAAATATACAGCTAAACACATGGCAACGGGGAGAGAACAATTGGGTTAACGGCCACTCGACACAAAATAGGTCATTTCAGGATTAAATATTTTTCGTTTTTATTAGTCGCTTGTACCTAATGGTCTTTAGCTGAGGGGAAAACCGGGGGACCCAGAGAAAACCCCTAAGATCGACAGGCGACCATACTCCTTACCACGTAAATGGCAACGAATTCTGAGATAAAAATATACAACATCGTGTGTGTTCAAATAGATGAATATTAACAACGTAAAAAAAACATTTAAAAAAAAAAAAAATATTTTACACACGTTTCATATTTATTTCGCTTCAGAAAAGATCGTCTGTTTTATCTCTAAACTATAATTTGATATAGTCTACTTGTAGTTTCATGGTGGTATGTCAATTTTTTTTATATAGATCATAAAAAATACTCTTCGATAGTAGCGCGCATTGTTAGTGTAGATAAATGTACCTTAATATCATAACATTTTTATTTGGGCGGTTGAGTTTAACAAAATGGCAGTAACAAATGAGATAGGGTTTAACGTGTTATACAGCTCGAGCACTGCGCTTCCCAGTGTTATACAGGTCGAGCAATGCGGTTCCCAGTGTTATACCGTTCGCCCACTGCGGTCTCCAGTGTTATACAGCTCGAAAACTGCGGTCCCCAGTGTTATACAGCTCGAGTACTGCGGTTCCCAGTGTTATGCCGTTCGAGCACTGCGGTTCCCAGTGGTATACCATTCGACCACTGCGGTTCCCAGTGTTATAACGTTCGACCACTGCGGTTCCCAGTATTAAACCGTTCGACCACTGCGGTTCCCAGTATTATACCGTTCGACCACTGCGGTCCCCAGTGTTATACCGTTCGACCACTGTGGTTCCCAGTGTTATACCGTTCGACGCCTGCGAATCCCAGTAGTGTTTACCGTTGGTCACATTGCGTCTAAATTACGGCCATTTTTATTTTAGTATTTTAGCGATTAAAGTTGAGAGTTTATGCATACCAATTTGCACCCGGGGTTTTAGTAACATCCGAGTGACAAGACATGGCTAGCGTTACTAATTAAATTGTGCCCCGGAGTCCCATACACACGACCTCCATGGCTCCCTGTAACAAGCGATAAACACAAATTTTTATGGACATAATCACTTATTCATTTTATTCACAAATATTCACATTGAAACAACTGATCAATGTGACACGTACACAGGTTGAATCGCTAATGGAATAATTTCAAATTATCACCAAACTCTTAACCCTTAAAGAAAGTATTCCTGCATATCATTATTTTATAATTAAATTTAGTGCGTAGATACTGCAAATGATATGAATAACCACGTGTGAGTTCCTTGACAAGAAATGTTTTGCATTCATAGAATTTTGAAACGCTATTACTGTGAGTCAAACGTTTTGTCGTGCATTTTTGCCCCAGAAAAAAAGTGTGGGCTCCTTAACAAGAACATTGTTGTATTCATAGAGTTATGGAGGGCTGATACAGTGGATCGAAAGTATTGTTGTGAACTTTTACCGCCGCGAAGAAGATTATTTAGAAAAGATAGAATTCGAGAATATAAATATGAAAAGGTTTTCAGAAAATTTATTGGAGATTGTATGAACTATTTCAATTTTTAATGCCATTTCCCTGGATAGGTTGGAAAAAAAGTCAGGCCCGACTGAATTGTCACGCAACTTGTCATCGACTCAATTTCCGGTCGTGTTCCCATGTAAAATTTACATTTATCCTATCACTGATATAACTGCAAAAAAACATGGTTACCTAAACTAAAACTGAAATTACTCTTAGTAAAAACAAAAAATGGACGTTTAACAACACAGGCCAAATTTCTATTTGTAAATTGTTCGATCCCTGTATTGGCCGAGAAAGTTCATCCAGATTTTCCGGCGTGGTTCCCCCTTGTCAGTGATGCAGGGCGGAGGGCCTTACAAGGACAGCTGTCTAAGCGTTCGGATGGGACGAAAAACCGAGGTTCTGTGTACACATTGGCGCGTACGTGAAAGAGCCCATGGCTGTTGGAATTCGATATAAGAGTAGGCCGTAGTGCCGCTGTCCGGGCAAAATTTCCCTCATAGCACACTGTATGGCGTATGCTCCTCTTCATTAGCCCATTTCGGACTAGAGCAGTAGGACGTTAAATTCCATTTCATTTCATTTCATTTCTATCTGTAAACTTGTTAAACACGGTATCGTTACCGTACCCATAGATACACCCCTTTAACTAACTGTGTATACGATATCCATGATTGTTGTACACCTGTGTCCAGTAGACCATGGTTCGTGGTTTTACGCCGTTGTTCATTCATAAATGTACAAATATCAGATTACCTAGACAGTTTATTGGTCGGCCTTACAATACTACACAAAACATTCATTGATGAAACTCAAAGATAGCTTTGAGTAACTTTAAGTTTGGCTATTAACTAAAGCTGGCGTTTTGACACTATAAGTAATTCTATACCCTTTGTTGATGAAATATTATACCGTATTGTTCACCATCAGGTCTAAACAGGGTTTCCAGTTACTTTATATTCAAGGCAAAATATCGCCAATGACATGTCACTTCCGGGTACATTAATGTTGTCAATGCATGTCCAACAATTCTGGACATCTCTGGGAATCGTCTGTTTTGCGTTCAGACGAATGGGTGACTGGCGATGATTTATGATAGATTAATACCAAATTCTCGAACAAAGGCCAAGTTTTTTGGTAGAGCAAAGACAGCTATCAAAGAAACCGGCCAAGGTGATTAAATATGTTTTCCCACGTACAAACAATGTGATTTGGTGATGTATTTGGACTAAAAAATATCCAAACTATCTATCGAACGTGTGCTTCAAATCCCTATCAAAATATTTTAATTCAAGAAAACTACACCAAATCATAATAGTCTATTTCAAGCAGCCTTGTTTTACACGTGACTTAATTGCGCGGGAACCATTTTAGTTTATATTTGTCGATACGTGCTGTCCATTTAGCACAAATTAAGAAACCAAAGAAAATTCTTGGATTATTGGCTGTCAACTTCTTTTCTTTTTCCACAGAGTCTTATCCTTTAGTGGCATTTAGCAATTGGAAACATAACAAAACTGACACAGTTATATGGGACAACAATCATTGGTTTATTATACACAAGCACAACGTTTCGATAAGTATTCTCTTATCGTTATCAAGCACAATGACATTTAGTGAATGTGGTTTTATTTTTCATTTACAAGACCTTGTGTAAATATGTTAAATATGTCTGTTAATTGTTTGAACTCTTCAAATCATTAGTAATAAGAATGGTTTCACATTGTACATATATATAGACCCTTAAGTTTACTAAATGAGATTGTGCTTGATAACGATAAGATAATACTTATCGAAACGTTGTGCTTGTGTATAATAAACCAGTGATTGTTGTCCCATATAATTGTGTCAGTTGTGTTTTTTTCCACAGAGTCTACTGGACGTTTAATTCTGTCAATGTTTTCACAACAGCTAGCAATTCAATGAATACATACGAAGCGCCTCTTTCATCACCCGGTTGTCTTGTGTATGGGCGGCGCCAAATGGGTGTTTTTCAGGGAATCCAGTACTTTTCTGGTAAGATTAAGTGTCTCTATTTTCCATGAACATGCTTGCCATGTTGCCATACATTTATTGAAAATAATTACCCTATAAATAGGTGGAAAATTTTGGCACCATTATTGGCTAATTAAATAGACGTTAAATAAATCTATTTAAATTCAACTGCACATAAGTTACCGGGCTTCAATTGACGAAAAAGGAAACCAAATATATAAACCTAAATTAGATCCAATTTAACGAAAAGAAACGCTGAATCATAAATCATTGTACCATGGCGATTTTGATGAAATTTTCTGAACAATGAGCCCTATTTATAAAAAAAGGGACCCCTACTGCGCCCCAATTACCCCAAAACATAAAATACACATTCAATAAATACACGTATAATTGACATGTTTAAATAGAAGTCAAATAAAGCTGTAAGATTAGTTATACCAATCTTACTCTAAAACACTTAGACATCGCACAATTACCCCACCAACACCTCCATTAAACCAAAACAGAGTTTCTATAAACGTCATATTTTGAGAGTTATGAATGGGAAACACTATTCGATTTCAAATGTATAAATACAAGTAAAACCTGTCACTTAACATGTGCTAAGCGCACATTTGGCTTAAACAGTCGTCTGTCAAAAGTATGGTTGAATGTTATGGATTTCTTTCGTATTATATTTTTTGTGGGCGTACTAAACACTTTCAGTCAGGTAACAATAATTTATCATACTGCAGTAGATGACCTAATTAATCTCTGGGCAATATATCTTTAACAAGACATAGGTACAAGAAAAATTGCTATGTGAACTTCACAAATCAATAGAAGTATCAGATTGTTCCAGAATGAATAAGAATGCCCTACCTCGTGCTCGACACCCGTCACTACCTATAGCTTACTGGGGCAATTAACTGATGGTTTTAGTGTAATATTTCTGTCATTTCCAACCCTGTCTAATTTAGACGGGTGTTATTGTCCCAGAGCGTAATTGGCCAAGGTAAACGCAGTATTTACGCGTAAGCATGTTACAAGGTTGTATAATTGTCCGTCTTCATTAGCCCAGGTTAGGAGCAGAACAGTAGGACGTTA